CCATGATGCTAATTTGTTTTGTCATTATGTAGAGCTATCATTATGTTAGACTACCGTACCGTGAAGATTTCATTGTTTCAACTTCCCTATCATGTCTAGAATACATTAACTAGCAGCAGGTGTCTTGCCCCTCTAGCTCTTAGATGCTTGCTGTTCCTTCTTCTGACATGTTTCCTGAAACTTTGGTATAGAGGTTGCATTGTAAATGTGGCACTTAGGGCTGGGCACTTCAGTCATTTATTCTCCTCATTTGACCTGTTGTAAAAATTTGTAATAGTCTCCATCTGTTGCAGAAAGATGATTAGTAGTGAGAAGTAGGCTTGTCTGTAAATATAAGGATACATATTTAGGATATAGTAAGAAATCACATTGGTCTAGGGAAGTGACAGAAAGGTTCTTCTCTAGGGTCAATGACCTCTCCAGCCATGTGTACGTGGGTATGTTTATAGTACTCTGCATTGGTGTCCCTCCCATTGAGCAGGACTTAAGTTCAATTACACAGTTGTTGATTACCCCCAAGATAAAAGTGTCACTACTGCACCAATAGAGATAGTTTGCTGGGCTGCTGATTGTTGCGGTCATTGGGCTTTACATCTGGGTAGGCTCACTGATTGGTTTTCTTCCTTGGCATCTTGCACAGTGTCTTCTAATACTATGAGAGCTAGTCTTTAGGGAGAAAACTTCCAGCTTGATTGATCCAAGTTCTGTGTCCAAAGTTTGTGGGGTCTTCAGCAATAGTGTGTTACCTTCAAGTTCTTGGAGATAATCAGGGGCTGTGGTAACAGCCTGGGACACTCTAGACAGCCCTGACTAACAATTTGAAAGGAGGTTTCTCTTGCCTGGCTCTGTGATTTTTGTTACATAGCCTTTAGCTATACACATGCACCCATATTTATATTATATGTGCATTTTTCAGCAGACATATTAAATAACCACATTTCCCTTTGGCTTTTCACACAAGTTAGGCATTATTTATCATTTTTTCCTCTCTCTGCCCCTGGATAGCCCTCACTATTCCCTCCTTAGTTAAAGTATTCCCCCCATTTTTCCAATTTCCCACTTATAATGCCTATTTCCTACTATCTCCCTCTTGAGCTCCTTCTTTCCCTTTCCCTCTAAGTTACTTTCCATTTTCCTGGTTCCCGTGGTTACATCAGGACATATACTCATATCTGAGGATTTGGAGCTAAGATCCACAAATGAGTGAGAACGTGTCACTTGTTTTTCTGAGTCTGAGTTAACTCAGTATAACTGTTTCTAGTTCCACCCATTTATCTGCAAATTTCATGATTTTATTTTTTCTTTATGGCTGGGTAGAACCCCACTGTGTAAATGCAGCAAATTTTTATTATCCACCCATTGGTTGAAGGATATTTAGGTTGTTTCCATTTCCTAACTCTTGTGAAAGAGCAACAAACATGGCTGAGCATGTATCTCTGTAGTAGGATATTGAATCCTTTGGGTATACAGGTAAAGGAGCGTATAACTGGATCATATGACAGACCTATATTTAATATTTTTTAAATGTTTTATTTATTATTTTTATTTCCTGTGTATGCGTGTATTGCCTTCATGTAGGTAAGTGCACCAGTATCATGCAATGCCTGTGGAGGACAGAAGAGACTGTCAGGTCCCCTGGAACTGGAGTTATGGACAGTTGTTAGCTGCCATGTGGGTGCTGGGATTCAAACCTGGGTCTTCTGCAAGAACAGTGTTCTTATCTGCTGAGCCATCTCTCCAGCCCCCTATTATTTTTAAGAGTTCTCCACACTGATTTCCACTGTGGTTGCACCAGTTTGCAATACAACCAGCATTGAGTGAGAGGAGTTCCCTTTCCCCACAGTATCACCAGCATTTGCTGTAACTAGTTTTCTTGATCCTAGCCATTCTGATTAGGGTAAGATGAAATCTTAAGGTAGCTTTACTTTGCATTTCTATAATTACTAAGGATGTTGAACACTGTTTAAGGTATTGCTAATCCACTTTTATGTCTTCTTTGGAGAATTCTCTGTTCATATCTGTAGCCCATTTTTTATAACTCATTTTTTATTTATTGATTTTTTTGTGTGTGTATTTCATACAGAACATCCCAAACAATCTTATTCATCTTTATACCCACATCCTAAATGGCACCCTCCTATAGCTTCCCCTCATCCCCACTGGAGCCCATATACTCTGTCATCCCTGTTACTGTCCACTATGTTAACAGTGCCCACAGCCATTCCCCAGTTCTAGTCCATCTGCTGAGTCTAGGCAGCCTATTTAGAGTTCCTTGTTTCAGGAGGATCAGCTCTTCCTCTTCCAGTAGCAATCAGTTGCCAGCATTCCTTTAGATAAGATTGGGGTCTGCTGTTCATGTTCCCAGTTCTATGCTGGGTTACTGTCTGGAAGTCCCTTGGGCTCCCTCCCCTGGCCAACAACTCAAAGGAAGGTATCTCCTGTCTGGCATTGTCTCTTGTTATGTAGCCTTTATCACTTTAATCTTTGGATATACTTTCCTTTTGGGTGTTTAAGACCGTACAGTTGGCCCAAATAAACCAATTTAGTTTTACTCTTTAGGTTGTTTGAGGATCTGTTCCTCAGGGGTCATATGGATTTGGGAGGAGCCCCGGCTCCTTTCTTTTACCAGTTCCATCTATGTGAAAATAAGTCAAAGGTCCTGCTCCACTTTTAATTGGGTCATCTTGATTCTTTGGGTTTTTTTATTATTTTTTTTGAGTTCTTTGTATATTCTGGAAATTAATACTCTGTCAGATATATAGCTGGCAAAAATTCTCTCCCACTCTGTGAACTTCCTCTTCAATCCATTGGTTGTTTGCTTTGCTGTACAGATGTTTTTTAGTTTAATTAGGTCCCATTTGCCAATTGTTGACCTTAATTCCTGAGCAAATAAAATCCTATTCAGAAAGTCTTTTCCTTGCTGGGTGTGGTGGCACATGCCTTTAATCCCAGCACTTGGAAGGCAGAGATAGGTGGATCTGTGAGTTTAAGGCCAGCCTGGTCTACATAGTGAGTTCCAGGCCAGCTGGGCTACAGGGAGACCTAATCTCAAAAAGACACACAAAAAAAGTCCTTTCCTACATCTATATCTTGTAGGGTACTACCTATTCTAACAGTTTTAATATTTCAGGTTTAACATTGAGGTCTTTGATCTATTTGGAGCTGATTTTTGTACAAGTTGATAGACACAGGTTTAATTTCACATTTCTACATGTGGAGATCCAGTTTTTCTCACACCATTTGTTGAAGATGGCATATTTCCTCCAGTGTGTTCTTGGCCTCTCTGTCTGGCATCAGGTGCATGTAATTGTACGTACTCATGTTTAGGTCTGTTTTGTCTGTGGCCCTGTAATATAGTTTGAAATCCCCTCAGCATTGTTTTCCTCCCCTCAGGATTGCTTTGGTTATCTTGGGTTTTTGTGGTTTCAATGAATTTTAGGATTTTTTTTTCTATTTCTGTGACAAATGTCCTGGGGATTTTGATTGAGATGCACTGAATCTGTAAACTGATTTTGGTAGGATGGACATTTTCACAGTTCTACCAGACCATGAGCATGGGACATCTTTTCACCTTCAAACACCTAAAGTTTTCATTGTAGAGTTTTAAAATGTCTTTTATTAGGTTTATTCTGGATATTTTTTGAGTTTATTGTGAATGGGAGTGTTTTCTTGATCTTGTTCTCTGACTGCTTGTTTTTGGTGTATAGAAAGGCGAGTGACTTTTGTAAACTGATTTTGTATCCTACTACTTTCCTGAAAGTGTTGATCATTTCTAGAACTTTCATAGTGGATTTAAAAAAAACTCTTATGTATAATATATATCTGCAAATAGGGATAATTTGACTGCTTCTTTTCCAATTAGTACCCTTTTAATTTCCTTCTCTTGTCTAATTGCTCTAGCTTGGTTTCAAGCACTGTGTTGAAAAGGAGTGGGGATATTGGTCAATCTTGTCTCATTTCTGATTTTAATGGGAATGCTTCCAGTTTCCCTCTATTTATAATGATGCTGGGTGTGGGTTGACTGTATATAGCCTTAATTATGTTGAGGTATATTCCCTACAGTTCAATTTTCTCCAGGATTTTTTTTATCATTAACATATGTTGGATCTTGTCAAAGGCCTTTTCTGCAACTATTGAGATAATCACGTGATATTTTCTTTAAGTTTGTTCATATGTTTCATTAGATTTATTGACTTATGTATATCAAAGCATTCCTGAATCTCTTGCATGAAGTCAACTTGGTGATGGTGGATGATCTTTTTAATATATGTCTGTAAGTGATTTGCAAGTAGTTTATTGAGAATTTTTCATCTATGTTCATTAGAGATATTGACCTATAGTTTTCTTTTATTGTTGTGCCTTTACCTGGTTTTGGTATTAGAGTAATACTGGCTTTGTAGAAGGAGTTTGTGAATTCTCCCTCTGTTTAAATCTTTTTGAATAACTTAAGCAATATTGGTTACTGTTCTTCTTTGAAGATGTAGTAAAATTTTGTTATGAATTCACTTGGAACTGTACTTTTTTATTCAGGAGGCTTTGTATTAGTGAATATACTCTTAACTGCTGAGCCATCTCTCCAGCCCAATTCTTCTTTATCACCTTCATAGTTTATGAAAAAAAGCATAGCATTTTTTTTTCTTTTTTTGGTCTTTTTGAGACAGGGTCTCCCTGTAGCTCCAGGTCCTGGCCTGGATTCACTATGGAGATCAGGCTGGCCTTGAACTAATAGAGATCTGCCTGCCTCTGCCTCCCAAGTGCTGGGACTAAAGGCATGTGCCACCACACCTGGTGGCATAGCATTTTGTAAAAGAGAATGAACACCAATAGTAACAGATACTGAGTTATCGCCACCTTTGATGAAAGTTTAACATCATATATTGATTAATTCAGAAAAATGAAGATTTTTGAGAGTTCCAATATGTCAAGTATTATGGAGCAACTTACATGTGCATTACTATTATTCATTATGTGTTTCCTATTATTTGAAAACATTAATATTAATACCTACCTGACAGGGTCTGAGATACCATGATCAGGAAGGTGGTTTTCCCAGGGCAAGGCTCATCAATGGCACTTATGATGCACTGACCTCTGAGATTTCCCCAAATATGGAAAACTCAACTGCGTACTTTGTGGTATTGGGAGAATGCATTCATGCTCTTCACTAACTAAAGACAGAAGAGTAAGAATAAAGAGAAACTTTAATATTAATGACTATATCAATGTTACTATTAATTACCATACACATTTGTAATAATGTTAATGGTTATTCTCTAATACCTTTTATAAGACTGAGTAGAAAATGCCTTTGAGTCACACACAGGAAGAATGGAAATGCAAGACATAAATTTCAAGGTAGTAGAGAAGAAAATGGTTATCAGTCTTTTAAAGTAGATGGACAAGCTTATGAGCACATTTGTCTCAACGGGTCATGAAATAGCAAGAGTGGTTCTGAAAGAAGTACTCTGGGAGAGCATGTCCTACCAGAACAAGATTTTAATGACAAATACAATTTGCTTTGGAATTGCCTTTTAGATTTTAATTTATTCTGCTTTTGTTTCATATATATCAACTGTTATATTTCCCCTGCTGCAAACTTTTCATTATCTATGAAAAAATATTTCCAACCAACTGTTCTACAGTTTCAGAATTTTTTGAAAGCATAACTCTCTGTGGTTAGCAAGGGATTAGAATGATTGCTTCAGGTGTGAAAGTAAGCATAATACACTCATTAATAACTACTTTAGGGAAAATTGGACAAGTAATTGAAAGCATTTTAATGTGCGTCAGGATAAGGTATTGACAATTTAAGGGAGTAGTTTCTCCATACCTAACCTCTTTCCACCCTAGTGGAACTGTCTTTGGAGAAAAAAGAAAAGAGAAAAAATAGGAGCTGACTTCTCCAGTGGAGGATTGTGATGAGGGCAAAACCACAGGAACTGCAGCCTGTGGATAGTTTTCTGAGTTCTTGTAACTGGGGTGATATCCTATTGAGGGAACCAGGGTCAGAGAGACATTTCTATAATCTCCAAAGGCTGCTCCCTCATCATTCCTCAAGGATGGGGATGGATAAACATGGGCTCAAAGGAGGCATAACAATATGACAACCACAGAGAACAAGAACCTGGGCCAAGGTCCTATCTGTACCTTGTCAGTAGAGGCATTCCTGTACTACTCTTTGAAGGAAGTAGGAGTGATAGAAGTACCAAGGACTGACACTGACCAGCTGCTTTCCTGCTTGCACAGGTGAAGACTCAAATCCAAAAGTAATTTGATATAGGAAAATAAATTGAGTCACATTAATACCTTGTATTAAGGAGCAATTTATTCCTGTTACATATTACTATCTGATTGTATATATATATGTACATATAGTCTATCATCTATCTATCTATCAATCATCTATCTATCTATCTATCTATCTATCTATCTATCTCTGTGTGTGTGTGTGTGTGTGTGTGTGTGTGTGTTTGATTTTACAGGAAAGTTAGTCTTTGCCTGAATCAGGTTTGAAAGACGGAAAGATGGTAGAAATATATCTGTGCAAAAAATGTAACTCATGGCAAAGATCAATGCAAACTTTGAAACTAGATGTTTTTTTGAAATTATTGACTTCTGTCTTTACAAATTCTGTTTTGGAGGCTGAATTTGGAGCTATCAGAACCCACATACAATTCTTTATTTTTTATTGTTATAAGGGTCTGTGTGAAAATACCAGTGGGAGAGAGTCTTTGTTAGCTGATTAAAATGTGTGGAGCCGCTGTGATGATTTCCTCTGTGTTTCCTTTGGCTGCAGATAATACCACAAAGCTTACTCAGTGACGCACATGGGCAGCTGATAACAGCTGACACACGTGAACTTAAGCCAAGTGTGTATTGTCAGAAAACAAACTAGAAACCCCACAAAACTCCCCACTGCATGACTTGAAAACACTCCTTCTCCAGTCTTTTAATGACACAGTCGATGATATTTTTAATTTTGCATGCTGGAAAACTTGTGAAGTCTGAAATGAGAATAAAGCCAAGTCCCTTTACTGACTATGAGCAAGATGTAACATGTAAGTATTAACACACTCTTCATTAGCAAAGCAACTGGGAATTACATGAAATTAGTATCATTCCTGTGGCTTCACAATTAGGTATTAGACAATCTTTATTACAATTTTCAATTGATACTTATTTAAAGTTAAAAACTGGTGGAATTAAAAAATAATCAAATACTACCCCAAGGCTTAAAAACAGCACTGCTCTGCCACACTTGTTATCACCACAGACTCCTACTCTAAAGGAAGCACTTTCAGTCATTTATGTCATATTTCTATTTAGTTTGATATTTTAAATTAGTCTGCTTATACCATGATTTCTTCATTTTTTCCCTACCCAGAAAATATCTAAAGGCTTCCTATAGAAGAGGTATAAATTTTGTTCTTTGCTACCCTGTGTTTCTGTATTGACATTTTTCTTTTTCCTTTCTCCCAATGTAGATTTTGGGTAAATTGTTTTGATACTTCTTCTTGATAAAATTCCATGTTTATTATGGTTATTCAAATGTAATCTACCACTGAGTCAGAGTGGATTAGGATCATATTTCTTTCTTGTATAAGTTTTCATTTCTCTATTGACAAAACTTGTTTTCTGTGTGTTCATTATTAATTTATTCCCCAACACCGCGCAGGACAGACTTAGGGTAACCTTTCATCTCAATATGTTGGCATGTGTGATGCACTGCTTGGGTTTCCTTTAAGGGAGCATGTTTCAGGAAACGCTGATTCTTGCCAGCTGCTGCTCCTACAAATGCTCTAGCCGCACTTTCCCTGGTTTTGCTCCCAGAAAATGCCTGTTTGTCAACTGCATTAGGATCCATTCTTGTCCCATAACCAATAAGCAGCCTTTGCTTTGAGACTCTCCATTGACCTGGCAAAACTTCCTCATAATCATGCTATGGTATGGACATTTCCTGCCTACTGCTTCCTTTCCTCTCTCTTTCCATGGGAGAGGGTTCTCATCTGCCTCGTAGTCTGAAATATCTCTGTTCTTAATCCCAGTCCAGTCTTTTTGTCCTTCACAGATACTTCCCTTAAACAAACTCATGTACAGTTAATCTCATTTTGGCACCTTTTTCTAAGAGGACAGAGATTGGCACAGGGATACTGAGAAGATCTGAAAAGACAGTCGCAGAGATAAGATTTGGGAACTTGCCCACATGATGAGAAAACTTACCCTGAGAGAGCTGTGAGTTCCTTGGAGCTAGGTTATATATACTTGGAGACTCCATCACTCAATATTTCACTTGCGGTGCTTTGGAAAAATGAGTATTATTGATTGCTAAAGTTCTTTTGATATCTTACCAAGGATAATGGAACATTGAGAGTAGTTAACAAATAATTAAGAGCTCAATATGAGATCCAGAGGAGCTTTTCTCTCTTATCATGGAGGACTATGCACAGCTGTGAAGCAGATACTGAATTTTGGAGCTGAAGTCACAAAGCCTTAGAGACATTAGGATGCTCAAAGGCAAATAAATCCTGGGACTCTGACATCCCTAACATGCGATGGAGGTAACTAGTAGGATGTCTTTGGGAAGGATTGGCACTGCAGATTCCCCACAGCCTGAAAACATACAGGGATGGTTACTTCCTCCACAACAGACTAGTGCTTCTTCCTGTAGAAAGATACTCTCTCTGACACTGTGAGTGTTCCCTCAGGAATGCCTCCAGCTCTTCTCTTGGTTGCCCAACTGATAACTAGTACTAAGAACCAATACAGCTTCACTGAGTATGTGCTGGGCCTGATAAGAATGAGCATGTAGTGATAGGGATCAGGGCAGTACACCTGTGATTGGATTTTGAGGAGACAGGATTGACAGGGCCCGGAAGTGAGACTGCATGAACAGAAATTTATTTTTGTGGACAATTTCTAAGGACAAAGGATTTAACACACTGGGAAGAATCCCAGACAGTGAACACACATGCTGTTTGTGAGAGTCTTTGAAACCCAGGGAAAGCAAAGATCTAAGTAAAGTGAAAAGGACAAGCAGAGAAGAAACACAAAAGCTAAAGACAGTCATCAGAGACTGAAGTGCGCTGCACATCCCTGAAGGAGTACACCATGAAAGAGGTACTGAACAACCAAGCAGACAAAATGTATTGGCTGTTTGCTGTTATCCAGTCTTCACGATCAGGAACTAATAGAATACTGACATGAAGCATGGCCATGGAGACAGGGATAGAGGATGTTTTTGGTTATAAACTTGAGTCTGACAACAGTGACACATCCACTTACCAAAACTAATACATTTACCGCTGCCTCGGAACATCCAACTTGTACATGGCCAAGAGCCATGCTGGAGCCCTGATACACATGATTACTCCAGGAGACCAAATAGTCACTTGGTGGCAAGTCAAACATATTGGGATTTTTCCCTGCTGGAAAGGCCAGTGGTTTCTTGACTCAGTGATAGATATCTCTTTTGCATAATTCTGTCTTTTCTGGCCACAGAGATTTACTCAATACTATTTTTCTAGGAGGTGACAAAATACCTGATGCATCATCAACTATTGACGAAACGCTATACAGCATGGTAGCAGAGACACAGAGCAGCAACAGAGGAGGTGGGGAAAAACTATGACCATGGCATTAAACAGTCCTATTGCTTTCTTTACCATCTAGAAACAGTTTTCAGACTGCTGGGAGAGCCTTCCAATGCACAGGGGAAAACAAGGTCAGATGCAATACTGCAAGGACAAAATGCCATCCCTCTATAATGTATACCCATTAAATCAGATACATGCATTAAGCCAGAAATCGTCATATGGCCTTGCCATCCCAATAGGAAGTCCACATGGATTTAGGTATCAAAGGGTGGAACCGGGTGTGCCCCTGATTCACTAAGGCAGCGGTGTGGGGATGGGGAAGGGCCTAGTATTTTCTATTTTGCCACTTTGGGTTCTTCAATGTTATCAGCCTGTACTAGTCTGATATGTGACATTTTCTGGGGAGAACTGTACAAATGTCTATTCACCTTAGAGAGGCTCCAGTGACAGACGAAAGTAGCAATGCTGCCCACTCTAGCTTGGTGAATCAATGAGTTTATGGGAAAAAAGCAAGGTAAGGGGTTGTTTACAGGAGCAAGGACAGTATGTGAGTAGCTGTACCACCCAAGAACA